CAAAAGTCTCACTTTATCGTCCAACGCAGTCTTGTTGAAGAAACGCGAATTGCGCTTGAGGCATAACGTTCGGGCCAGATTCGCTTTAGCGCCTACCCGAGTAGAAATTTCCGTACTTGACTGATCAGGTCCTGGTCCGCTGTGCCGTAACATAGATACGGCCCTGTCACGGCAACCACACCCGGGCCTGATAGGAAATGTAACGCTATGCATGATCAGGGCCTAGTGCTATCCACCTGATCAGGGCCTGGTGCTATCCACCTGATCAGGACCTGAATGTATCCGCCTGATCAGGGCCTGATATCATCCACCTGGTACGTGCCATGTCAGCCTACATTATAAAAACCGTACTAGGATGTTCAAAGACTTTGGCCTTATTCTTGACTGGATCGGGAATATTTTTGTTAATGGACGTGGTTCAGTAAACGCAACGCTTAGGTTGATGGATTGAGCGTTGAATTTACGGAATCAGTTCCATTAACAAAAATATCACCGATTTACTCGAGAATAGGTCCTCTGCTGAGGTAACGTAATGAAAGACTAAATATCAGTTAAATCATGTTTATTGAAGTTATAACGATAGCGAAACAAGTACGAAATACCTATTTCAGACAAGACATTCTTCTCTCAAACTAAAAATACTCTAAATATAACACAAACAAAATCTCGAATTCTACTCGATTAAGACTGAAGTAAATTGTGATTTTTCATTTTTAGTTTTCTTTTAAAGAGTTATTGAATAATCTTTGGTTTTTTCTTACTGTTCCCACTAGTTATTCATCTCCACTCAACTGTCTATCTCTCGATCACTCTCTCGGTCGACGTCATCATTCTTACGTGTTGGGCCAACGGCTAACAGTGGTTCCTGGTATGATCCAGCTTCAGAAGGCGTAGTTTTCTGTTTTTTAACTGAATTTTGTTGACGAAGAAAACGATGGCCCTCCCAGTCCTTGACGTTGTTAAAAACTCGTCCTACGACTTGACTGAACTCCTTTGAGGTAGTAATATCCTCGCGACTCCCCACGAGAATTCCTCGAAACAAAGCGAGAATACACATTGGAAGAAATTAAAAAAATTATACTATAAAATAATAAAGACAGTTCCCTTTACCTTCTAGTAATTTGTAGAGAGACGTTTCATTAAACAGTTCTTTACCATTGGTCTTTTTGACTGCTGTGAATCTCATGCCCACTTGGCGGTTCATGAAGAGTTTCAGAATATCGGTGACATTTTTAGTTGCACGATCTTTCTTAGTGATTTGACTTTTCACGCGCAGCTTCTATTGACATACAAAAATATTGGCATTAACAAATTATTTTTTTATACCCTCAAAAATACATATTTTGAGATTTCAAAAACTATACATTTTTTTAGTGTCTGTGAAATCCTTAATTTGCAAGGAAGAAGGGGTACTTACAATTTTCGTCCTGTAGATTTTATCAACGTTTAGCTTTGCATTGAAAGCCTTGAACTCGAACATTGATTGACATGGCAGTGCAAGTTTATCCTCTTCAGCCTCTGATTCCACATCTTCATTTGCAGTGCCATTCCTTCTTTGTATGTTAATACAGAAATTTTTCATCTCAATCAGATCCCCCTTTATTCGTGCCAGTTGCACCGATAAACTTATATGCACTTTATTAATCAACCTACATAGAGAACCTAGGGATGAACGATACACTGTTAGAAAAAAAAATCAAATTTCATTTATGGCTAATATGGGTCACAACCTAAAACTTTTCAAGGGATTACATTCTTTCATTGAAAGGTTTACTACTAAAGACTTACTGTAATGAGTGTTGTTGTCAACGGTTGAATCAGGAGAGTCGTCCAATGTTGTGAATTCATTGGCACCGGTTTTTGAAGACTTCGGAATACCTGCACTTCC